CCCCCCCCCCCCCCCCCCCCCCCCCCCGGAATTCCTGAATTCCCACAATTCCCACAAAATTCCCCCCCTCCCCACCGTGACCACAGGACTTGAAACAGCCCCAGAGCATCTCCCAGTATGGCCCAGTTATGGCCCTGGGGCATCTCCCAGTAGCTCCCAGTAGCTCCCAGTTTGACCAGTTCCTCCCTCACAGGGGGTGCCAGGCGGGCCAGGCCTGGCTCCAGCCCTGGGACATCTCCCAGTATGGCCCAGTTACAGCCCCGGGGCACCTTCCAGTATATCCCAGTTACAGTTCTGAGCCATCTCCCAGTAGCTCCCAATTCCAGTCCTAGGGCATTTCTCAGTATGGCCTAGTAGCTTCCAGTATGGACTAGTCCCAGTTCCGGGGCATCTCCCAGTATCTCCCAGTTCCAGTCTCGGAGCATCTCGCAGCATCTCCCAGTATCTCCCAATACGTCCCAGTCTCTCCCAGTTCCAGTCCTGGGGCATCTCCCAGTATTTCCCAGTATGTCCCAGTGTCTCCCAGTACCAGTCCCAGGTATCCCCCCTGCTGTGCCTCCCAGTGCTCCCAGTAACAGCTCCCAGTGACAGCTCCCAATTCTCCCAGTTCCCCTAGTGTTCCCAATCTCTCCCAGTGCTCCCAGTTCCCTCAGTTCCCCAGTCTCTCCAGGTGCCACAGCCTGGACCAGCGCTTCCAGTATCCCCAGTCCCTCCCGGTTCCCCTAGTTCCTCCCAGTGTTCCCAGTCTCCCCCAGTCCTCCTTCTTTCCCAGTCCCCTCAGTCCCCCCCAATCCCTCCCAGTGTTCCCAGTTGCTCCCAGTCCCCCACAGTCCTTCCCAGTATCCCCAGTCCCACCTGGTGCCGCCACCCGGGCCAGCACTCCCAGTATCCTCGGTCCCCCTTCTTTCCCAGTCCCCCCAGTCCCTCCCAGTGCTCCCAGTCCCACCTGGAGCCACAGCCCGGACAAGCACTCCCAGTGCTACCAGTCCCTCCCAGTATCCCCAGTCCCCCTTCTTTCCCAGTCCCCCCAGTGCTCCCAGTCACTCCAAGTTGCTCCCAGTGCCTCCCAGTATCCCCAGTCTCACCTGGTGCCGCCGCCCGGGCCAGCGCTGCCAGTGCTCCCAGTATCCCCAGCAGGGCGAGGGGCAGCCCGGGGCCCGCCGGGGCCATGGTGCAGGGGAGGGGGAGCCGCAAAAGGGACTCCTCTGTCGCGACAGGGACTCCTCTATCGCGACAGGGAATCGCGATCGGGACGTGGCGGCACCGGCCACGATCGTGCCCCGAGTGCGGCAGCACCGCGAGGGACCCCCCCCAAAAAAACACCCCCCCGGACACGCCCC